CATGGGACGGCAAGCACGTAACCCAGAACCCGGAAAAATGGTTTCCCGACCCAAAAGTAGGACCGTGGCGAATTCTGAACTGAAACATGAAATATCAAAGGAAAAGTAGAAATGCAAATCCCACAGTTTTTTTGGCAGCAGTGCTGACTAACCACAGTGCCTCCCACTAGATCCAGGCATCAGAAAAGCAGCTCAGATATCAGCAGACTGCTAGAACACTGTAAGACACCACAGATTCTAAGTTACCAACTGGCCTAGCTCAGTTGGTACACCCCTGAACTGTTGAAATACAGACCCGAGTTCGAACTCCATTGGAAGGAGATGAGTTTAAATACTGCGATTCCGAATTACCGAGGGTCGGTCAGTTCGATGATGATATCTCAAGGCCGTTGCCCTTTTTCAAAAAAGGGAGGAAGAAGAACAAAGACAAGAAAAGGAAAAGGGGGAAAAAAACATGGATTCTAAGTCTTGAACCAACCCTGCTACCATGTCACTTAGAGGCTGCGCCAGAGTTGAAGGAATCTAACTGGCTTCTTCTGGCTGCCAGATGTAAATTTGGTCAAAACTCTATCGCGACTCGCAAGGCCCATCTGAACATTTTTGTTGAATGTCTGGTACCGAAGCAGGCTGCTTCTTGTGCTCGTGGTAAATGCTTCCATAACGTACAAGCCAAGGGCTCAGGTCTAGAAGAAAATTTATGTAGAAGAAAACCCCACCATAAGATTTACTTGGGAGCAATGAGCCTGGAAAGTGGCAAGAAAAGAATGCGAAGAATCGTGAAAAAGAAGGGAGCTGAAACACCCATGAATGCCACAAATCAGTTTTTCTTCACATTTTGTTTTTGCTTCTTTCAAAGGTTTTCAAAATTCAACGCATCATCAACTTCGCAGAGGGGAAACAGGAGTGAAATTCAGCATTGGGGAAAGAATTTCAACAATTAAATATGAAGCTTTGATGTCTTTTATAGGTAAGGTTCCCATCTTTGTTGCTCTAATGTCATTTGTTGCTGTCAGACTGAGAACGATAAGAATGAAAGGGATGTGAAGGTTAGGAGGAAGAAGACAGAGAATGAGGAAATCGTGGAGATAGGATGAGAGAGAGAGAAAGTGGGAGGGAGGGAAGGAGGGAGGGAGAGGGGGGAAGAGAGAGAGGGTTCGAGAGAGAGACTGGAGGAGTGAGAGAGAGAGAGAGGGAGAGAAAGGGGAAGAGAGAGTG